GGGGGACTATCCAGTGGTATATGACAAGGTATCATTGGATCTTCACCTTCTTATCCTCATTCTGATTTTTACATTTAACGTATAAGATAAAGCTCATTGAGAAGTAAAGAGTATTTCAATCATTAACTGTATTTAGAATAGGAAGCTTTTTGCTTAAATTGTTAAGAGAGAGAATTTTTAAGGTGGGTGATTATACCGATTTAATGACAGTTATGTTTTTTACAATTAATGTCTTTACAAGTTATGTTTTTTACAATTTCGAACACAGGTTTAAAACAACTTAGTAGTCACACATAATTACACTGTGATATGTTTTAGAATATACTGTGATATAAATATTTTAAGGTGATATCACAAAATGTAGCAGATTATTTATCAATAACCAATAACTTCCCCAATTAAGTTATTATAAACCACCATAGTGAAGCAATGGCTAATCCAGAAAACAGAAAATAAAGGAAATGGAAGATGTATAAAAAACATTTGGGAGATATGGAATTTATCCCACGAGTGCTGTAAAGAGCTCATAATTTAAGAATGCCAAAGCCCAAGTGTGTTATGAGGGTCTTTCCTCAAAAGTGACATTAATTACATATCCCACAGATGCTTATTATGTAGTCTATTTATATCAAAGTATAAAATGTAGTAGTAAAAAATATACAGATTCAATATATTTAAGAATGACAATAAAACTCTGGCCTAGCTAAAATTGTTATTTTTAAACTTCAACTTTTGGTCTCTTTAGAAAACAGTATTATAGTATTAATTGAAAACAGTATTGAATCTTTATATTGAATCTGCTAAGATTAAGGGTCTTTTGGACTCATAACAAATGTATACTCAGGGATGGAATCATAACACTAACATTTAATATTTTAGAGGCTTCTGCACAAAAATAACTCCAAAGTGATGAAATAAAAGAAAATTCTTATTCTCATAGTGAAAAGAAAGGTATCAATAAAAACCCCAGCTCTTAGATATAGGGGTAAAAGGGGTCAAATATTTGGTGACAGAAGGAAATCTAACTTTGGGTGGTGAACACATGATACAATATATACGACAGACTGCTGAACTGTATACCTGAAACTTATTTGCTTATTAATCAATGTCACCTCAATAATTTTTAATAAAAAGAGAAGAAAATTACCTTGGAAAGTTGGGAATAATGTAGTCAATGTTTGCTTTGGAAATTAGTCATTGTGCATTGATATACCCCTACAGAACTTAATATTTAAAAAGTCTAATACTCACCAATAACTGGCAAATAATAGACAACTCAAGATGTTAATTATCTGAATTAAAGTAAGAGAAACTTCATTCTAAGTGAAACAGGTGTAATCTTTCATAAAGTTAATGAAAAACAGTGTAAACTTTTAGGAAATATTTTGTAATATCACTTACAAAGTGTTAAATATTTAATTTCAAAATAACTTTTTTTAACCTAAATAGTAGGATGATTTAACATTTTCTAACATTAAAACCAATTACTATTATCCAGGGGATAAAGCCCTTATGTACATAAAATAATATCATTAATAAGCAAGTTGTTATATAACATTCAAGATCATGAGTAGTCCCATATTTCAAGATAGATATCAATCTATTTAAAATTGAGATAAGCTAATTTCAAATGACTTTAGCCAATGTTATTACAATTTATATTTTTATACTAATTATTAATTATAATTTTGTTAAATAAATGTACTAGAAAAATGCAATAAATATGTTTACACATGGCTCATCTGCCACACTGGGAGACTTGAACATATATTCTCTTACAAAAATCAGAACAAAAACTACTTTTAAAAGTGAAGTAATTGTGAAACATTTTTCTTAATGATAATTATAAGCATATTAGAAAGCAGATTTAAATAAATTTTAATGTACTATGCAACTGCTTAAGATCGACTAAAATTAGAAACCTGGATTCAAACAGAGTATAATATTATTTTGCTAACACTTTCTCTATCATGTAAAGAAACATATTTATGATTTACTCCCCATTCTATACAAGTTGTTGGTATTGATAACATTTCTCCCTTGGTACATTCGTTATGGGCATTTTTATCATATTGTCTTCTAATTTTGTTAGAACATTTTAGAATGTAAGAAACTATTTGTTTGAAAATAAAAATTCTATTAAAAAATAATTGGCATGTAAAAGTACATTTTAAATGATACAATTATGGATTCTGATGTTATCCTGAGGAAGAGTAGGTTTTATTAACTAAAAATTAGTTATTTTATATTTGTCCACTTGATAATTTACTCAAACTGTAACTAATTATTTTTAAGTAGTGATACTAACTATAAGCCTAAATTACCAACTTTCTTCTGACGGGAATAGATAGTAGCATCAGCAATTGTTTAGATTAACATTACTTATATGATATAGGACAAAACAAAATATTTCAATTCATTTACATGAGATATAGACCTACAGTATTTATTAGATTCAAGGACTTATTGGGCCAAATTGCTATAATCTGTTTCTAAAAGTTTAGTCGCAACATCTATACTATCTCTTCAGAAGCACTGGTCCAAAGGAAATATAAGTGTTTCCACTTATAAGAAGACCATATGTTTTAGTGAAGAAAATATAGAAAGCAAAGCCAGAGCTGGAAAGGTTCATGAATCCCTTAGTCCATCCCTGTCACAGAGCCATGATACCCTAGTTAAGTAATGGTAATGACATAATGATAACATAAGCACCGACAGACATATATTTAATGTTTATTACATACTGAGCACTACGCTTTTTACACATTATGATTTGATTCTCTCTCGTAGGCATCTTATGAAGTAGGTACAATTATTTTTAATCTCCATGTCATAGATGAAGAAACTAAGGCTCAGAGTAGGTAAATGGGTCCATTTCATTTCAAAGCCTGTGCTCCTAATGGCTATTTTGTATTGTACTAATATTATTCTTTGGCCCCTAAGATTCTAACAGTCATTAATAGGAAACATAAAGTGGTGTAATATAGCTTTGGATAGCATAAAAACAGGAAAATAAAACCACAGTGACCTTTCATATGCCCCACAAATAGAAATAATAAAATCGAATTTAATAAATGAAATGAGTAAAGTAGAATCCTTGTACTAAAAATGTAGTACACTCGATTAAGAGAATGAATGACTTCTTCAAAGATTTTTTAAAATGTACATTTTTAGATAATGTAGATGAGATTCCACACAAAAATAATGGGATGAATAAGTCAGCTATGGTTACTGCAAGCCTTCATATTGTTAGTACTGCTAAAAAATAAAGCTGAAAGATCAATTATGTCACAGATCATAGAATTTTACTGGGAAAGTGCTAGTTGGATGTCGAAGAAGCTCTATGAATCATTATGGCAAAGAGAAAGCTGATTGAAACTTATGTCTGCAAAGGAAGCTGGAGCACAATGATCACAAGTCCATGCCATCACCACTGCAATGTACAGCACCAGATCAGACAAAAAAGTGATAAACAATAAAGCATTTCAAAAAATCATAAACATGTCCAACATTAATTCTTTCCCTGATACTTAAGATCAATTTCTAGACTTTAGCAAAAAATTTTTGAGGGTATAAAATAGGCTTTTGTATTTGAATAAACCAATTCTTTGAGTGCACAGTAGATAGGAATATAGAATTTAACTCCTAACCTTGCCACTAGCTATTTTAAAATAAGTTTTTGTCTATAAATACAAACATATTAGCTAGACTTGCAAGTATAATTGGCAATTCATCAATAACCTGCAGAGCTGCCCAACACCCATGTCACCCATGTCTTTCTCGCTTCTTGTGGGAATGATGGAGTTGCTCTCAATGATGAAGTAAGTCAAGCTTAAGTCACAGAAATGAAACAAGAATCATTAAAAACAGGAAAGCAGAAACCTGCAATTACATATCAGGGGTTCCAGTAAAGAAAGACAGCTGAATTATTATTAGTGAGAGAGTCTCTGTAACATGAGAACATAAAGAAAACACTCATTGATATTCTTTTCTTTAGACCTAATAAATTGGCCTCTGCTCCGGTCCTGAACCTTTGACTTGAGATTCTTCGTAATTCAAATAATGAATTCATAATTATTCATAATTATGAGCATCTACTATGCACATTTCGATGATATCTTTTCAATTTTCCGTGTTCTACCTAATTGAGAGATGGAATTTGCAGGAAATATCTACCAAGGAACTGCCCAGCCCTGGATATGTTCTCTTGTTCCAATATAAAGGATCATTTTGTTGTCTGTAGTACTATACAACTAATTCGTATTTATTAAAACTGCTATCTTTGTTAATTTGCCTACTCACCTTATGAGCCACTGAATGAATACACATCACACACACACACACCCCCCCCCTAAGGAGTGACTGCCTCCTTATTTTTCTGCTATTATAGCATGTTACAGAGGTTATGTGGCTGAAGATTAGTATATTATGTTCACTGTAAGGAACATTAACCTTTTTTTTTTTTTGAAATGTACTGTTTAGAGTAGAGTAGACGACCACACAATAAAATGGAAAGAACATGGATATCTTATAGTATCATTTGGGTTTGGAGCTGGCTTCATGTGTGTATGACCTGTGCAACCCTGCACTTCTTAAAGTGTTTAGTTTAATAATCTGCTGTTGCCATCTTGAACTTCTTACTAATTTTTTTAAGGGACCATTCATTTTTATTTTGCACTGAGTTCTGCAGATTATGAAGCCAATCCTGCTGGGATCTGAATTATGACTTTATTATTTAATATGTGTAAACTTAGTGCAAGCCTTAATTTCTTCCTCTGTAACAAAGGGGTAACATTCAATTAACAGGCTTGGTGGGAGTATTTGATGAAATATCCTATGTGAAAGTCATGAGCACAGAGCCTGGCACATAGGACATGAAAGAGATATGAAATGAAATGAAGCTGGAACAGTTCTTGCTTTTACATCTAAGGATCTGAGACATACAGGAACCACCATAAATCATAATTAGGTATAGCTGAAATTTAAACTTCAATACTTACAACCCATATATTTGTGGTGCAATTTCTAGTCTGTTCAAGTGCATATAAAGCTCAATATCATGCTTCTTCAGTAGATGATCCTGGATCTGGTTGACTTTGGTAACAATAGCAATTGTTGGCCCTAAATCCTGTGGTCTAGCAAAGGGGATGGGAGTCATCAGTGTTTCTTTCCCCTAAAAACAGAAAAATAGAACACGTATTATTTCTATATGAAATTAACATATATCTGGACATAATTTCTGAGTACGCTTATCAATGGGTGCTTAAATAAGAACCAACTATTTTAATCATCTTATGACAAATGCTTACACTGTGGAATTATACACCGACTGTCATACAGATGATTGTGCTCATAAAGTTGAGAAGGCCAGGAAATGTCTTCTAAAATACTTCCTATTTGTATTCCCTTGACCACCTTCTCTGGTGACATTATGTATTACAAGATAATTTTGGCTAGAGGTAGTGGTCGGCCCTAGTCTATTTCCCTGTGGCCAGTTTGTCTAATCAGCCACAGCACCTAAATGGAATACTCTGATGAAAATATATTTCCTGTGGCATAACACTTAAACGTGAAAAACAGTAAATGAAAACTGTTTTAACGTAAGCTCTTAAAACTATAAAAAAAAGTTAGAAAATAAAGAAAATAAGATATATTTTTAAATGCCCTTTGAGCAATTTAACAGCTGAGCAGAAGAGATTTTAAAACTTTCCAGGCCAAAAATATAGCTGACTTAAAAAAAAAAATTTATGTGGGCCATCTACAATTTCTCTACTTGCCATCCCATGTCCCATATTAAGAAAGATATATCTGTGATTCCTTATAATGCTTTCATGTACACTTCAACTCTCCCCTCAAATCTGATGACTTCCTCGAATATATTATGTCTGAACTTTCTTCTGATGTTATCCTCAATTTCTACCTCTCTCCAAAATTGGGATTTATACCATTACTCTGTGATTGCCTACTACTTATCCTCAGTCTACTTCTCTAGCTCAAATTCCTATTTCTGCTTCACAAATATTGCTTTTTCATAAAGTTCTGGTCTTAGTTTTATTCTCTACTTATATGCAATTCCCTGAGTGACCTCAGTCATATATAGTGCTTCAACCAAAACCCATTTTCCAAAGACTTAATCTGTATCCACAACCTAGAACTCCCTTGAGTGCCTCCCATACATTCAAACATTGGCAAGGACCCTTCAATTGCGAAAAGGACCTCCAATTCAGCAGGCCCACAACTGAGTTCATCATCTTCTGCTCAAAAACATCTTCGCTTTTCCCCCATGCCTATCACAAGCCATCCTCCAATAAGGACACCTAGTTTGCCAATTTTAGCTCCTCAGACCCACTCAGGGGCACTCTTTCATGTCTCCTCTTCTATACCCCTTTGTAATAACCTGTTTTGGAGGTCCTAATCATTTCATTTCCTTCGTCCTAACTGGTCTCACTGCTCCTAATTTAGTCTACTTTTAAATCCATCTTCTAAAATGCCTGGTAATCTATCTGACACAGATATTAGATTATGCCAAATTGCCTTCCTTAAACATTTTTAATAGCTCCCCACCATTTTCTCTCAGGAGAAAACCCCCAAATTCTTCAGCCAGGTCTGTAAGGCTTTTTTTCGTTACCTGGCTGGCCCCAACTTCCGCTCCTAGAGACCCTGGAGATGCCCTTCCTTACTGAGAATGTCCCTTCCCCAGTGTTTCTGCTGAGGAACTCCGAAGTATTTTTAAAATTTCGCTTAAGTGCCACGTCCTATTTCATTATCTTCTTCTGACCTATAACAGTATCCTTTTCTACTTCTTTGCTTCCTAAAGTGTGAGATTTCTAAGAGGAATACCATCTTTTCATTGCTGGACCAGAGTCAAGGGCACAAGACAAAGAAGGTAAAGCATTTGCCCTCATGTCTGGAGGGGAAGGCTACACAGAAAACTACTTAGAATTCCACATAAAAACAGTGACTAATCAGGCAGGTAGAAAGCACAGAGGAGAGGAGGAGCCTGTGTTAGTATAAGGAAAAATTTCCTGAAAGGGGTTCCTCTCTTTCCAGGATCACTTCAAGTCTTAAAAAGAAATGCAGTCCTCTGTACTTCCTGCACTGTTTGCCCTTGTGTCTTTAGGTCCAAAGGATAGAAATCCACATTAATTTTTCTGATTCAATTAGTGTGTGTTCATTTATATAAACAGGAGAAAAGGAAATCTCTATGCTGTGGTCATGGATTATAAAAATAATATATCCAAGACACCTTTTTCTGATTTTGTGATATCTAACATTTACTTCAAATTAAAAAAAAAAAAAAAGATTTTAATTCTGTTACAAGTTTTTCCTTCTGATATTAAATCGAAATAACTTTTTTTGGGAATTCACGATAATTATAAGATACTATTCACAACTGAAAGGCAGTGTTTACTCTGAAGCCAAATTTCCTTTAAAAACAAGCAATTTAACATTTATGTATTTTGATTGTAGAGTTTTTCCTTTACTGAATAACCTGTGTGGCTGAATACCACACAGTACTGGGTGGAAGCACTCAGGCCAGACAGGGTTTCTAATAAGCACATGGAAAACAGGCAACTGTATCCAGTCTTCTTTTAAGTGTATACAGATATACACTTATATCTGTAGAGATGCAATACTGGCTTTGGAAAGAACTGATCCTAAATTATCCTGTTTAAAAATGTTTAACTTAATGCAATCATATATTCAATTTCTAGTTTGAAAAGAATGAATTTTCATTAGATCAACAGCACATGTGGTCCGTTTTTCAAATGCTTAATAGAGACTCATGTTCTAAGGCTTATATAAACTATAGTTTGCAAAAGACTTCCCCTGTGCTCAGAATAGTTACAACCAAATCTCTTAAACTTAAGAAAGTCAAAAGTAATGCTTGAGATTACTTAAGTACTAAACATTAAAATCAAAAGAGAAGCTGGAGTTAATGTAAAATACTTCCTTATAATCAGAATTTCTTATCATAATAAAGAATGCTATTCGCATTTAACAACTGGGGCAGCCACAACTACCAATAAAACTAAAATCTTTTTAACCGTTTATTAAGCAGTACTCAAAATGCATTCTACAGATCAGAGCCAGTCCACAAACTGTTACAGGAATGCAACGAGATAATGATTTTATGCCATATGTAAACCAATGCACTGCTTTCTTCATCAAGAAAGTTTTATTATGAAAAGTATGTCTGGTGAAATAGGCAGCATGCATACTGATATAACTGAATTTTCAAAGGCACTAGAAGAACAGAATGAGGGAATGGTATGTTAATTTCTAGAGCTTCTTTTTTAAAAAGTGATAAAATAATGAAATAGAATAAAAAGGGGAGGATGAATAAGGGATTCACTAGACATGCATTTTAGAAATATATTATTCACTGATATAGGCAAATAAATAACACAAATATTTAGAGGTCACATCTATGTGTTCCTTGATAAAATGAATGTCTTTCTGTTGTTGTATTAGCCATTTTCAGGAACTTAACTTGGTGATATCGACATGAATAGGTAAAACTGAAAAATGGTAACCCTCTTATTTTTATCATTCAGTTTCTTGGATACTGTGAATCAGTTATAAAATACAAAATGACCAGTGTATGAAATAATCATGATGCTTATTTTAAAAGTATTCTGCTCAAAATTTTGATATTCACTTAAGTCTTTGACTTCATCAACTCACTCACCAAGAATATAAAGTTATTGATCTAAAACTTAAGGCAGTTCATCATATATGGTGACAGCAAGTTTCATCTCTAATAATCATTACAGAATATATCATGTTCATATATTGCTGAATGAAAATTTTATCACCTAGGCTAGGGGTCAGGAAACCAGCTCTGCAAAGAGCCAGACAGTAAATAATTTAGGCTTGACAGGTCATACAGTCGGTGTTGGCAACTATTCAACTCTGTTATTGTAATGAGCGAGCAGCCACAGACAATAAGTAAACAAACAGGCATAGCTATATCCTAATAAAACTTCTTTTATGGACAGGGAAATTGAATTCCATATTACTTTCATATGTCACAAAATATTATTCTTTTCATATTTTTTTCAGCCAGTTAATACTATAAAAGCTATTTTAAGTCACAAGCTGTACACAAACAGATGGCAGGCCAAATTAGTTTGCAGGTAGTAGTTTGCCCTGACCTATACCAAAAGCATAAAAAGCATTAGTTATCCATTTCATTTTTTAAGAAATGGAATGAAGTGACTGAGTTATACATGATTTCTAAGGAGAATGCAACCAATTATACCAATATAAAAGAAATTGATCATACAGAAAATAATATACTAAAATCTCTTAACAACATCCCTTCCAGAATAATGTAATTTCCCCAATATTATGCAATAACAATGAAAAGACCATAATGACCTCTAAGTTAACGTACATGTTTGTTTAAAATGACAGATAAGTCAGCAATTTCACATCTTGAGGTATGCCAAGAGAACTGAAAACATGTTCACACAAAAGTTTGTACACAAATGTTCATAGCAAGCAAAAAATGAAAAGAACCCAAATGTCCATCAACTTATGTATGAATAAACACAATGAGGTATATCCACACAATGAAATGTTATTCAGCCATGAAAAGGAATGAAGTACTGATGCATGGCACAATGAATAAACATTGAAAACACTACGCTAAAAGAAAGGAGTCAGTCATGAAAGACCATATATTGTATAATTCATTTATATGAAATTTCCAGAATAAGCAATTATATAGAAATAGAAAGTAGATGAGTGCTATCAGAGGCTCTGGGGAGAAGGGAATGGGAAGTGACTGCTGTTGGGTATGGGATTTCTTTGTGGGGTGATGAAAATGTTTTGGAATTAGTTGTGGGGACACTTGTACCACCCTGTGAATATACTAAAACCCACTGAATTGTACACTTTAAAATACTTTAAAAAGGTGAGTGTTAGGGTATGTTATTTATAGCACAGTAAAAACTGTAGTTGAAAAACAGGATAAGAGAGAGTAAGGATAAATGGTATTGATGCTAAATGTGTAAATTCTATAGTGATACATCAGTAAAATGACCTATTTAATACAGTTTATGCACTTTCATTAAAACTGTATCTACAAACTCACTAGGATAGCAATAGATTGAGCAGAGAAATACGCTTATTAAAAATTTATAATACTTTTTAAGTAAGAATTTATATTGCATGGATATTATATACACATATAAAAGCAGTTTCTTATTCATTTATATAAATTTTTTATATTACCTTTGTATATTTGTCAATATCATCAGAGACACAGTTTAGATTACCAGTTCAATCTCATTCTGAGTATTTTTTATATTTTGTTTTTTTATAGTAATAATAATGGCTTTTATTCTGAGTATATATTACTTACTGAAATTATCTATTCCCTCAAATATACTGAAAAGATTTGTATTATATAATTTACCTTTTGACCATCATGTTCAAAAGTAGAAAACCAAGGTTCGGCAGTTTCCATAAGTTGTGAGAACATGGCACTAAAAATTAGAAAAATAATATAATACTGTTAAACCTTCATTAAAGTAAAGATGATATAAAAAATTTAAATAACAGATAGTTTTTGTACTTACTAGGCATCATGTTCCAGATACTCGGGGTTCAAGAGAGTTTTCATTTCCTCACTTAAAAAAGCAATACATGCAATCAAAATGTGTAATTTTTAAATGGAAGGAGATTCAGAGGTTGCCTTATTCTATACTCATAAGCCAACTTTTATATAATGTGCAAGTGAAAAAAATTAGCATTTTTTAATAAAAAGAGCAAGTCTATTAACAAATGAAATATTTTCTTTCTATAAAAATCAAAAACAAATTAGCTGTCTTGTCTGTACCGCAATGAGGTAACTATCTAATTATTCCAAATAACAAATACAAATGCGACAATATAGTCCTTGAATGTGCCTGATCTAGAATAAATTGATCGTGTCACAATTTATCACTTATTGTCCAAAATGAAACAAAAAAATATATAGTTACTGGTAAAATATACCATGTTAAAACATTAATTTATTTTCTTTTAATGGCATCTATTTTTACTGTATTTTAACATCAATTAATCAGAGACGGCACCTCTTCCAAATCTATTTTAGTGTTGCTTTTACATTTTAGTGGATTGAAACAGCTAAAGAAGCATGTCTAACTCATTTAAAAGCTATTTTCAATCATCTATACTTTCACGTGAAGTATATTCTGCATGCATATTTTTTAAAAGATAAAACTGGCTTGAAAACAGTATCCTAATAATAACTTCATCCTTATCATTCTTTAGAGTAACTAAAGCAATGGCAATTAAAATATGGTTACTAATAGTCAGATCCAGTAAACTCAGTATGACTAGAGAGAAGGAAGTTGAAAATACTAATCTATAATATAGTAAACAAAAGTTAATTTTTTTCAAAGGCCCTAACATATGTTCAGCAAAATAGATGGCTACATTCGATTAATAAAGATTGTATGAACACATGTAATGCTATGTAATTATATTTTATTTTCTGTGTATGGATAGTTAGCCTGTGGAAAATGCCTGACAAAGTTTTACAATCCTGGAGTTTTCTATTCCCAAGATGCTTCCTGGCTGCCTCTGTGGCCCATCAGTTAGAAAATTAATTCTAAGAAATATCTTAAGTTAACTACAATTACTGAAGTCATTTGCTGGAAAGAATAAATTAATATATCTCAAAAACATGAGAACTCATTTTTTATTTAGTTATAGAGTGGGGTTCTTTGTGGTACTGTTCTCCGGTTAGGAACTGAATTGAGTAAAACCTGAGGTGGAGAAAGTATCTCACAGATAAGGTTCCCACGCAGCCTGTAGTGAAAGAATGGCTCATTAAGAGGATGAGATATATGAATACTACCAATCTTTAGCACTTTGCCATTACATCAAGAAAATTTTTTTTTTCTTGATCCATTACTTATGTCTTTCTTTGGTACAGATTTAAGATTTGCAAAAACATTTTATGTTTCCAAATTTGCCCCATAGCTGAACTGGGATTACAACTATTAAGTAGAATTATCAATCAGCCACATGAAACACAACCAAATGTTTACAATTTACAAAAGTACCTTTGCTTTAAAAGATTTTGAGGCATAAAAAAAAAAAAAAAAGATTAGAGCAGAGTTGAAAAAAACAGATGGGGCTGATATAAAACCTTGCCTTGGTTGTGCAGACTCACTGGCATGAAGAAAAGCTTGGTGGTCACAGTGGAGGATAAAGATTATAGGAGCTAAGAGCTCATGCATGCCCTGAAATACAAGAGCAAGAGAAATGAAAGGGTTAGATGTTTAAAGTCCACAAGTGGACAGAATAAGCTCAGTTAAACACTTTTTCAAATGATCTCTGCCAATCAACATTTCCATATTATATAGAAAAGCATAAAAATGAAAAGCTACAAAAATGAGATTTTATTTACTTTTAGACTTTGATTCCAATTCAACCACAGCACGTATTCTGCTTTAAAACATGGAGAGCAATTCTCTTTTAAATGACACAACAAACAATAAATTGGCATGGTAGACAACCTTGCACCTGTCAGTTGCTTCAAGATCTGTACTCATAAATATGAATTTCATTTATGCAAATTATAATCATGAGCTACAGTGTAAAGATCTGCAGTAAGAAGGGCAACTAAGAACTGTAGACCTAAGGAAATTACATCCAATGTTTTCATTATATAATGGCTCAAAATTAGGATGTCTGTAGATTTAGGAAGCGCTGAAGTCAGCTAGCTGGAAATGTTGGATAATAAAAGAAACAACCTTTAGCAGGTATGAAAGAAAACAAAGTTTTTAAAGTATGATTTTTCAACATGTTTATTCTGAAGATTACCATAAATTTTTTCCTATTTCAACTATAAATTTATTTTAAATTTTAGTGATTTCACCACAATTCTTTTCCTTATATTAGTGTTCACCTGTGAATTACATGAATAGGTATAGAAACAAAAAGGTGTATTAGCTATTAAGTTGTCTTTAAAAAAAAGTATTATAGAATCTATTATTTATCTATTATTATGTGGAAATAAGGTGTTCTACATAGTGAGTTGCCTTGTTAATTGAGATGTTTTTCCCTCTTAAGCATCAAAAAACATATATTAGCAAGTTAAAAATAAATAGCACTAATTTTGCCTCTGAAAGTAAGTAAACTGCCATTTTCCTTCTGCTTAATAACTATGGATGATCTTTTATTTAAAAAAGTAAGACAAAACATCACCTTTACAGGAAATAAAAGTAAAATATGCAAGCAGAGAGAAGAAAAAGGTTTTGCTGGTGGAAGTAGAGAAGATTTCCTGTGTGTGATAGATAGAAGGACAGTCACAGTCTAGTATAGTAGTACTGTGCTATTCTTAGGAATCTAGTTGTCTTCACAAAATAATATGAAAGTAAACTCTGTCAGACTTCATTCCCTAGCCTTGAATTAGAAGGACTGAATGACATTTCTACAAAATAATTTATGCTCTATTGACAATTTACTTGTGACAAATGAACCACACATCACTTCAGTCTTTCTAGGTAACCATCTCCTAAACCATGTACTAAACAAACCTTAAAAAGACTGTCTTACAGAAGAACATGGTAGAGAACCAGAAAGAATAAAATTAATTGTTGCTAAGTATGCTTTAAAATCATCATGAAGGGTTTATTCTTCTGGAATAACCTCAAGTCATTCCCAAAACCAAGTACCGTAATTTTAATTATCAAACTAATAGCCACTTATTGTAGAAAACTACATAAAAGCAAAAACAAAAAAGAAGGAAAAGAGGAAAAGATGAAGAAAGGGGAGGGAAGGAAGGAGGGGAGAGAGGAGAGAGGGAAGGAGAGAGGGCCAAAAAAACAAAATAAAGGAAAAAAAAAAACTATGATACACTGTAATAAACTTTTTTTTTTGCCTATTATTGATGATTTCCTTAACATAAAGTACCTAGAAGCAGAATTTCTGTGTAAATGAGTAAAGATATTTGTTAAAGTCTCACAATTATACACAATTAAGCTACTCTTCAAAAACAACTTCCTCACTTTCGAGCATAAAACTCACCATCTCACAAATTCTCACCTATATTTGTAGTGTTTTTAAAAAATCCTGTCAAATTTCACAGTCAAATGGTTGTTTTAACTTAATTAAATGCTAGTGAGAGCACACACAAAAATTGTATTGGCCATTTTTATTTAACGAATTGGCCATTTTCTCCTAAGGGTTTCCTTTAGTCTATTGATTTATAATAGTTGTCTAATTCAGGATATTAACCTTTGGTCATTTTTGTTACGTATGCTTTCCCATGTTTACCATTTGTCTCTTAAATCTGGTATTTTATAGTGAAAGTGTATGCTTTAAAATAATAAAATCAATAAATCATCCTTCATAGTTTATTATTTTGCTTTCATGTCTATAAAGACCTTCTTCATATTGAGATTAGGCAAGTACACAGTTGTCTTTTTTTTTTTTTACAGTTAATTCTTTACTCATCTACTATTTAATTTTGCCCTGAAAAATAAGTATGTATTTTTTTCACTCCAAAAGAGTTAAACTTATTTATTGAACAATCACCATTCATTGAAAAGCCCATCTTCTTGCAAGAGTTCTGAAATGTCATCTTAACCAATACTGAATACTTAGCTCTCATTTTTTCTCGGCTTGTACTGGTATTCCATTGGTTTGTATATTCTACATAAGAACTTTAATGTACACACAAACACACACAAATAAAGGCTATCTTAGGCTATTTATTAGGATCCTGGGAACTAACAAAAAGGTGTGCTTGCAAAAAATTTTTTAAAAAATAAATTTTAAATAGAACTTTAATATTGTAATGATGAGTTGTAAAATATTCCAAATAAAATATATTTTCCGTTATTTTTCTCAGAATTATCTTGCCTATTTAACTTAATGTTTTCATCCAAACTTACTTCAGTATCATTTAGTAACATAAAATGCTAAACAAAATACAGCAATTTTTATTGGCATTGCATTAAAATCAACTTGAAGAAAACAGATATTTTTAGGACACCAGATTTTCTAATCCAAAAATTTGTAGAACTTTTTTTCACAAAAATTTGTGAATAATTTTTACTGGGTTTGTTACTACGTTTTTATTGTTGGTGATAGCTAATTTAATAAGAAAGATCTCCTGTTTAAATACATCCTTCCACTTTCTTAAATGTTCTCTTCCCTCTAGTTTCTGCGACACTCTATTCCAGATTCTCTATTCATCTTCATTTATTTCAACAATTACTAACTACCTATGACATGCTGGGAACACAAAAGTAAATGAAGTGGACAAGCTCATAACCATCATGAAGCTTGCAGTCTAGAGAGCAAGACACAATAATCAAATGAGCACAGAAGTGACTATACAATTATAAACTGTGGTAAGTGATATGTGTGTATATATACATATATGTATATATATGTATGTATATCTATGTATATACATACATATGTATATATACACACATGTATATGTATGTATATCTATGTATATACATGTGTATACATATACGTATACATATATATCTTCTAGCTCTTGAACTTGCAAACAAAGTATAAGCATGTACACACACACGCACAACACAGCTCCCATTAGAAGCTTGGCCATAGAAGGTGCTCGCTACTGAATGAATGAAACATCTCACCCTGAACACAATGGTAAAAGTTAAAACAGAAAAGAGTAACACTAAATCATATTTCAATATTTCACATCAATAAACAGGCATGCTTGCTCTTTGTATAATGGAAATTAAGTTTCCTGGATACCATTTAAGACAATCTTTTACAAATTCAAATTTGAGTTCCAACTAAACTAGAAATATTTTCTTAAATAAACTTGTAAGAAATTGTTGGATTTACTCTCAATTGTAGACTAGTAAAACCTCATTAATAATTATAAGTAGCAAGTATACAGAACTCTTTAAAAGATACGAGAACTATCTAGACAGAATGGTCATAAATTCAACATGCTGTAAATTTTACAAAGAATAATCAAAAATAACATATTGTTAGTATACTTCTTGGTTCCCAAAACATGTATTTTGCTTCCATCTACACTGTCAGCATTTCTGCATGCTTAAAGCCTTTATCCCTGCTGTATTGTTAGTAGTCACTGCACTCCAAACTCTTGCCATTTGAAAATAAAGGTAACAAAGTTTTCTTCATCAACAGCCTGTAGGCTCACAAAATTGAACCTGTTCTTTTATCTGCCTGTGTTCATTTAGCCCACCAAGCAGTCTTTATTAAAGCAGAGGCATCAGGCAGTCAAAGTTCATTAATACCATTTATATAATCTCTGCAGTTTCAATTAACTCAGCAAGACATTCTACTACATGATAACAGTCTCATTAATTCAATAAAATCCCATAACTATTAACAATATGGTCGATGTTAAACGGGGTGTCACCTAGTACAATATAATAGCTTTAACAGCTTGTGATGAAACGCGAGGTTTTTTCTTAAATTTGATTTGGCTAAATATTCAGTCCTTCTACAGCAAGGTATTATTTCTATGTAAAGAATCTATAGGATTTTAAACATGTGCAGGGAGTAATTAAGTCTTATTAACTGATACCCAGGAGTAAGTTAATACTAGACTTTATTTAAATTATCAAGAATCTGATCTTCCATATTCCTGTTTAGTCTTCCTTACAAATGCAGTGGGCCACATACATCACAAATGATGGAGTGTGCAGTTATGTTTTTGTTCCTTGTCAGTAGGACTTGATTCCATTATTATAAGACTTCCCTAATTGTTTTCTTTCTCTAAAGAAAAAGGTAAAATACAAGTGTATCTTGGAATAATTTTACTCTGACTTGATTCCTATCATCAAATCTTTAACTGTGAGGTATTTTAAAATATTTGAAAGAACAGAAGAGACAATGAGCAGATAGGCTTGATAATAAAAGCCAACACAATGAGAAGAAAGTGGAAAAACAGAAATAAACCTAGATCATAGATGAAAAGTCTGAGCTACTGAACTGACTAATGCTGCAGAACTATTTTGCTCCCCCCAACTTCTAATAATGTGCAATAATAATTAAAGTCCAACATTTTCTGTTATTTACCTCCAAAAAATCCTATACTGATAGATTTATTTTCTCTCAGTCTCCTTATTTTGGTTTCTTTGTTTTTGGTTTTGGGACTTTGTCTATGACTTCTGGATAGCCTATATTGCTTGGAAAGGCCCTCCTACCCTGAAATTATAAAAAATTCTCTTAAATTTTTTCTAATGTTTTTAAGTAATTCTTATTTTTCCATTTATATTTTGGCTCTATCTGAAATTTTTCTCCAATAAAGGTATAACTTAAGCTTTTTTGTAGATGGAGAGCCAAATACGGCAAGTCAGTGAAAACATCTTATCATATTAAGATCTCATACATAACTGGACCTGTTGTTAGCTTGTTCCACTGATCTATTTGTCCAATTCCACACTACTGTCACATTAGTTTAATCACGGAAGATTTACAAAAGTCTTCATATCTCCCTTTGACATTCTTCCCCTCCCTTAAATTCTGTGGCAACTCCAACATACTTAATGACTATAATAATAACCACCACAACTACCAACATGAACTCTTAATAAGAACTATATGTTTTTAACTCTACAAAGTCTATACTATTGTTGCCCTCTTCTTACAGATAAGGAAACCAAAGATTAGAAAAGTTGAATAAATTGCCTAAGGTTATGTAGATAGTTAATGGTGGAGCTGAGATTCAAATAAAAGGAGTTGAGCCTAGCAATATGCTTAATCACCAAGCTATATTATCTCCATCAAAATTACTGTAAAGTTTTTGGCCCTAAATTTGAAATAACTGTGTCCAGTTTTTAGAAAGCATATCTGTTGCTTAGACTATCATTGGGATGATGTATTAACATTTACATATTAACTTGGGAAGAAGTAATATTTTTATTTAATGTCTTCTCATCTAAAAACATGCTATCTCTTTTCTGTTTATTCAAGTCTGGCTTTATATCCTTCAATAACATTTATAGTTTTCTTCATACAGCTTCTGTACTTATATTGTTAAGTTCATTTCTAGATATTTTATAGTTTTGGTTTGCATTATGAATGGGATATATTTTTTCCATTTCCCATTCTAAACAGGGGTTTATAATAATTAATTGTAACTAATACAACTATGTAACTAATATAAAGATCTATTATTAATTTTAAAAATAAGATAAAATCAGTTCCCTTGAATAGTCTTTGTACAGAGAAATTGTATTGTTTAAAACAACTGTAATACGATTTGATATATTATTTTTAACTAATCAAATTTATTTCAGATTAAATACATTGCTCTCACCATACAAGTGTATTCTGTTTATATTACACTGAAGTTAGGTAGTCTTCTGTTAGACCTACATCATGACTTTTGATTATTAGAGAATTTATTAATTTAGTTTGAATTCCCACTTAAAATACAATCGAGAAATACATAAAAATATTTTTCTTCATGTATTTTTACTGAAACACAATAGCTTAAGTGAAAACTGAGATACGTCTTCACATATTAAATATACAATTTACATTTCAATAAAAATAAAACATAATCCAACAATCTTCTCCGCTTTAATAATGGGATGACTCAAGTATCAGGCTCATAAAGAATATCATATAAACTTCAAAAAAAAATACTTAAAGGAACTTTCTGTAGTTATAGTACTGATAAATTTTAAATAGTAATAGGATACTTTATATTTTACATGGCATGTCACATATTTATAAATGCTGTACTTAGAAACAATATTTATACATACAGTTCTGAAAAGTTTTATTACTAGATTGGCTTCAAAGATGTTGTTTATAAACAAACTCCTAAAAGTTGAAAGAAAAGATTGAATGCCTTATAGAAGACAATTTGGTGGAATGTCTTATAATAAGGAAGAAGCATATGTGCTTCAATGAGCTTACTTTTCTCACCATGCAGCTGACAAGCAGCTCTTTGATTGCTTTACTATTATGGTACAACTTTGGATACAATAAAGGCTACATTATTGCTCTATCATTTGTCAAGCTGTATAGAAAATTTTGAGTCAATGGATGCCACCTGTACGATATTTTCATTACCTGTTTATAAAGCAACTGCTCGTTTTCTCTAGCATAACAGAAAAGAACATCTGTAAGAATTTTTCTCACATTTTCTTCCTGGAAAAACTGCATTTCAGGAAACCTGAAAAAAGAAAACACAGGATTGAAAGTGACTAGCACAATTCCAAGAATTACCCTCAAACTCTCATCTCTGAGAGGTGCCAAGGGCTGCTTTAGGTTTTAGTACATGTCTGTATTTGCCGTGCAGCTTATGCCATTGGTGGGACTGATATGTTAAGGAGAAAAGGGTGAGGAGAGGGAAATTATTATATCACTGAGGAAAACGATACCTTCAACATATAAATATTTCAAATATTTTCCATATGCTTAAAGACATCACATTGTGAATATAACCATTTTTAAACAAAATGAATTATAGCCTGTGTATTTGAGGTGGGCAATCACTTTGTTTAGCCTATTTGGTTTTTAGGACTAGAATGTGACCTTGTTAGTACCAACTTTTTGAAGAAATCATTGTCTTTTTAATGCAAATATCAGGATTTAAATTATTACTCATGAGCACACTGTTAGTGTTATCTGATTAAAATGTAGACTTTAAATGGAACAAGTTAGTTGCTTAAATCCTCTCTGGATCCAAAATTCTATCAGTGCTTTGAGGTGAAGTGAAATGGAAAAAGGGTAGACTATTAACTGAAAGGAGCTTAAATAATTATTTCTAAAACAAGAATATACAATTCCAAGAACCCAAAGAGCCAATACACAGCAATGCAATACACAATGAAAATATAAGGGAAGAGAGGATGTCACTAGAACTAAAGTCAAATGGGTTCAATCACAATAGGTTTAAACAAGAACTTTCAGGAGAGGAGGAACATGGAACACCAGTGGGCAAGGTAACCAAATCAGAAGCTATTAAGGCCTAGAGGGCAATGAGTATTCCAGGTGTACAGCACAGTATGGTAATTAGTCATCAGAAAGAAAGGTATTTCCATGAAGTCCTGCCAGTTGGGAGCAGGAAAACAGGACAGAAGAAAAGGTGGGGCAGGTCTGAAAAGAGCTTTATGTTAAATTTACAACTGAGGAAATGCAATAGAGTGACTCTACATTTTTTGAATGGGGACGTAACAAAGGGAATAGTATTTGAGTCCTCTAAGTGGGGATAGGGCTAAAAGAGGAGAGATTACAGAAAGGAGATAAAAGGGCATTACAATGAAACTAAATGGAAAAATTGCAAACCTGAAAAGGAAAGCCTTTGCCCAAATTCATGCTGCAGGAATTGCTAGCTGTGGAACCTTGAATAAATGATTGCCTCCTCTATTAAGTAGGGATAATAAAACTGATCTTGTGATCAAGATGAGATACAGTGAAAGCACCAAGAACAGTGACTGGCAAGTAGTAGATGTTGAGAAATAGAGGTCATTATTAGTCTTGGAGCATTGTCGGTACTTTATGTGATGAAGATGTGAATTAGGTGGCTTTGGAACTAGAAAATAAGAGGAAGAAACTGAAGAGGAAGAGCGCCTAAAGCAGGAAGGCACCGGGCATTATCGAAACAGAAAAAATACTCCTTAATTAGTCTTTAAGAGAGCAACAATGGCTGTTTCACTCCATATCATAATGGTTTACTGCCTCCTATTTTTGGAGACCTCGGCTGTGTTATGCTTCATTCTGATCCTCTTCTGGCTCACCGTGACTTATTACCTTGTCTCTAGTCCAGGCTGGGTTCCTGGGTAAACTATGCTAGTGGCCTCCAAAGTATTTCTTTCTGGTCCTAATTTTTATGCTTATCAGTTCATATGACTTTTGCTTGAAATTCCCTTTGATGTACAAATGTCTCCAGACACAGATATTTGATCTGCTAACAACTCATATATCTGAGCAAGACTACTTCACATCTCTGCATAAATCTCAATGTGATGAATTTCAAGACAGTCCCCACTCAGCCATGGGAGTTTGACTAGGGACAAGTGACCTTGGTTCCTAAAGGATAAAAAAATTAACCTAACGGTAGATTCAGAGTAAGAATAATATATGATAGAAGCCAAAGAAGATCCAGAAAGATATCAAATGCACCGAGGTAGGAAAGAAACACAACAATTTTTTGAATGACTTATCTGGAACAAAAAGAAGCCGCTAAAGCCCTTAGAAAGTCAAACACCCCCAAATAATCAGGATGAAAGGTAAGTAATTAATAAGACAAATTGCTGAAGAGAAATTTCTTGTGAGAGCTTAGTCACTAAGTTAAAACAAGGATAACCCTTTTGAGAGATAAAATTGTTTCCTCTTCTTCCTCAATAGATGACTTAAATCTAGGCCTATCCTTAAGTAGGCTTCATGCCCCATGATTTACATCAAGTGGCCACTAATGATTTTGTGTGTCTCCTTGCTTAACTATTCTTTGGAAATTTTCTATGCGTACCAGCACAACCAAATTCTGTGTAGTGTTGCAATCTGAATTATGGGATTATAAGAGAAAACACTAAGAACTGCAACATTCACTTTGTAACAAATACCCACGAACTCTATAGCAAGAGTTTAATACTTAACTACTAAAAATGTCAATTATATTACATACCAATTCATAGTTTCATTCAAATGCATACTATCCACTTGCAAGATTAAAAACTAGAGAACTACAGAAATTAAATTGCAGGTAGATAATTTAAATTACTCTCTTTTAGTAAATATCCAATCAACTGAAAATGTGTATTAGGCAGACACAGCATATCTATGCAATAACATGCAATCGACAATTCTATTCTACAATGCTAGAGCGCCAATTTATGAAGTTTTATGGTACCCCCCCTTTTTTTTTAAGAAAAGCATGACTTGTTCTCTAAATTCAGATGAGGAATACACTGCATCAAATACGTAAGGTAGAAAGATATAGAAAACTTCTGAAAAAGAAATACATGTTAATGCTATTTCAGAAGTTGGAAAAAGAACTGACATTCAGAGAATTCTAAGCTGAAAGATGATGATGATCCAGTCCAACTTGAAGATGATTCAGTCTAAATGAGAAAGTAACAAGTAAGGACACTGAAACAGAGATTAAACCTGTCCCAATGTATCTGGGTAGTTAACAGTACTTTCCACTGCTTCACTAAATAGTTATAAATGAGTTAATATATACATGTTTAGGTAAAATTCCATGAGTTTAGTTACACAAAAGAACATAGGTCATAAGGCTGATGACTATATCTGTAAAATAACATATTTCTTATAACAAATACGCGATTGTCATATTCTCAGGCTTCAAAACAGAAAATATACCATCTATAGGAATCAGAAATAAGAGGGAGAAAAGTACAGTGAGTAGCTTTTCTAGGAATAGTAATAATCAGTTTTTAATGATTATATATATATATTTATTTATTTTACTCCGTGGCATCTGGTGTTAACTCAGGACAGATAAATTGATTTGAACATCAGTTTAACCCAAAAATCATTGAAAAGGATAATCTACTTTGGAAATAGTGATAAAAATCACAAACTACAGACCCAAGCTAAATTAAACAACTGTTAAGATTTTGAAAAATCAATAGTGTGACTACATTTTCATGCAAAAAAGAGAAATGGTAGTAACTTCAGTAAAGATGACAGAGAAAAACATTTAGAATTAAAACTTTATTAGTTTATGATTCTTTCAAGCTAAAATATCTGATAGGAAAGTAAAAGATAAAAAAATCACACTGAATAGGACTGAAGAAAATTTTTGTTATTATAAGAATATAAAAGTCCGAGAGAAGTAATTTCTGCATTTGGCCGGAAAATGAAAATAAAGATGGCAAATAGGGACAGTGAAAGTCTAATTGAGAAAAAGCAAAGATAAAATAATACTAAAATATTCCATGATGAAACTTAGACTCATACAGTGTCAGATTTTTACTTGATGAAAAAAAAAGAAGTCGTATTTTAGTTTTAATTTAGTTGATCAATATTTAAAACATAGCAGTTTCACTCTCAAGATGTGTGAAGGAACTTATATTTAGACAATTTTTACATACTGCAAACTAATACCAACAGATATAAAAGTATGGTGTGTGTCTTTTGTTTTGCATCTTCAAATAAGCCAAAATTCATAGGGAATAGTCTTCATTATAAGGTCAAAAAAGTTGTCTCATTATGGAAAAATTATAATAGTCTTCATTATAAGGTCAAAAAAGTTGTCTCATTATGGAAAAATTCAAACATTTATAAAAAAGAGATAATAGTAGACTGAACCCCAATATATCCATTACCCAGCTTCATCACCAATCAATTCTTGTCTTATATATTCCTCCCTCAATGCTGCATTTTGAAGTAAATCTGAGACATCACTACATCTATAAATATTGCTGTATCTCTCAGAGATAAGGACTCTTTAAAAACATAACCATAGTATCATTATAATCCTACTACTAATAAAAATAATACATTAAATAAATCAAATATCCAGCCAATTTTCAAATATCTCTAAAATATATTCAGTTTGTTAAAATCAAGATCTAAGATATGTCTTTTTATTGAAATTTGATGATATATCTCTTAGGACTCTTTTACGTCATAAAATTTTCCTTCCTCTCTTTTTTTTTATAAGAAGCTAAATTGTTTATCCTATAGAAACATCCAACATTCTGAATTTTATTTATTGTTCCTCCATTTTTTTTTTTTTAATTTATTTAACGCATACCTCCTTCCCATTATTTCCTATAAAGTGGTAGTTAGGGATAGAGCCTTCATTAGATTTAGGTTCGACTTTCAATAAATTCTTCATGGGTGATGTGATGGTTTTAAGACATTTCACAAATTCTTTGGCACTTCTCCCATAAAAAGGTAAGTCTAACTCCCCTCCATTTGAGCATGTGCTGGCCTTAGTGACTAGCTTATCACAGAGAAGACCGTGTAAGTGATGTCTGTCTGGCTCTCCATGTGGACATATCCTTGGAACCAAAGACACCATGCTGCTAAGGGTCAAGCAGCTACATGGGAGGGCCATGTGGAGGTGCTACAGCTCCAGATCCAGAAGATCTCTGCTGAAAGCCGTCTTTAACAGCCAGATATATGACTGAACCAACCTCCAGACCCTAATTTTCAATGTGGCCTAGCTAACACAATGTGGAAAAGAGACAAACTGTGCTG